ATTAATAACTGTCGGGCTCCTTGTTAAATGCATACAATACTCGAAGCTTTAAAAGACGTACAATGGACTTGGCTAAATTAAAACTTTTTCGATACAGCGACATTGCACGGAACTCGAGGACGGGTAATTATTGTGTTAGTAGCGTCAGCAGAAAAAGTCATTTAAATTTTTTAGTTTGATACCTACCTAATTAATATTTTTTAAATTCATGTAGATACTTATAAACAAATATTTTACATTTTTACAAATGTACTTCCCTCTTGAGAAGAAGTTTCCGTCTCTCTCTTTCCTCCTCCCCCGATATCACTCGCGCACAGAACATTAAAAAAGTTTTTTGCACTCGTGTATTAAAATACAGTGTTAAAACACAGATACTTTTTTTAAATGTCTCTTAGTGTTTTCTTATTTATTTAGTTTCACCACTAGGGAGTATTTATTTTGTGTTTTGGGTCACTTTATTACAATTACAAAAACCAAACTCTATTTATTTTCATAGGATATCAATTAAGTAATTAAAAAAACTGTTATAAGTAGAAGTGGAGTGAATTTCCCCAATATGGACTGATTTTACCTTCAAATTTTATCTTCAATCGTATTACATTTGCCACACATATCTGTGAAACAAAAAATCATAGCGATCATTTTTTTTTATTCAAGCTGCAGTTACATCTTTGTATGCGGACCGTACCTTATTTCGTCAACTGACACAGGTTTGTAAAGACACATTTAAGCGGAAAAAAATCAAAATTAATGATATCGGTGGCAGCCAGTAGGGCACATGGTCGAATGCTTCTTTCATACTAAACCCTGAATTCTAACATCGGATGCTTGAACCCTAAAAGGATAAAAATAGAGACTATTATAAAGTTATTTTGAAAAACTGTAACTTCCTTGGACCATCTATTCTTAAAGTTCCGGATTCAATTAATAAAATTAATAAATAAATATCCTTGGACATTTTACACTGCGCTAAAAGTTAACTAAAGTGTACTATTTGCTATCAAACCTGTTATCATAAAATTCCTAAAGGTGAACAATAAGATTTTAAATTTCCACTGTTTTTCTTATTGCTGACATGCGTTGTGGAGAAGGCAAATCTCTTGTAAAGATTTTTTTTGTATTTTCATAAAAATACCAATTGTATTCATACTACATAATTATTATAGTAGCCTGCCGGCTCACGACGAGTGTTAAGTCACGAGATAATAATTCTCGTCGTATAACTGCATTCTGAGGGCAAACTGACCAATGTTGTTTCCTTCATAATCAAAGTGTTTAAAAAAATACTGCTTTTTGGAATGTCACTTAACAAAAGCAATCAAATTCCAGAACCAACAAACCTTCTATCATCAAAACATCGAACACTTCAATGAACACAAGACAGATCCTGATGGCAGATCAGATTGCCTGGTCTTAGCTGATTGGGCGAACAAAAAGAGTTGTATTTACCAGCGATTACATAGTAAGCCCTCATCAAAACACTGACGTGGTCCTGTCAGGCCGATATCTGATGGCTCGAGGAGCGCCCCCGCGCAAACTGGAGATGGAGAGATAAGTCAATCAAGAGGCCGTGGGATTTGGAGCGATTGCATTTGTTTTCGATTTGAATTTGGTGTTTTTGAAATTAGAATTTAAGGATCATCGATTATGTATTGAAAAGTGGCCAGTAAAACAGTGTGTTCTAGATTTAAGTTCAGTGCCTCTACCATGAGTTGCCATCGAAAACTTGTATTCGTATACTACAGTCGATAGAGTTTAAACGTGGATCGATGAAGTTTGCATTAAAATCATACCATGAGTTCAATTACCGTATACTTTACTCGCCAGCGATAATTCGATGGTTTTGTGATGTAATGTTGGTGAGCATGTTAACGTATCCAACTTCACACTCTATGAATGGATGAATGAAAGAACGAGTGCTGCTCCTTTCTAACTATATAGAAAAGATAGAGTAGGAAATAACAAAAATGACAAAAATAACACTGCAAAATTTAAGTGTCCTAGAACAGTGCTTAAAGCTGAATTAACATGATGATTTTAAATTTGTATTGTTTATTTCTTGTCATTGCGACTTTGACGCAGCTGTTGTCATGACAACATATAACAAAACATGTTTTGTTGAAGGATTATTGATGAATAATTTTCCACAAAAAATTGGATTTTAACCACGATAGGAAAATGAGAACCTGCGCCTATTCGTTTAAACCGATTGTAGAATTTATGGAAAGGTAAGTTAAGTAAAAATAAGNTTACCTATCGATTGGTACTAATATCATATAAATTCTGCCTACAGCGTTTTGTGTATGAAACAAATTGTCAAAATTGTTTCAAATGCCCTCGGTCTCCCCTACAGAATAAAATTTTGATAGCTATTTCATTTGATTCAATTCGAACTTAGATTTTGAGTTCAGATAAACGCCCTTTCTAGTTATTTTAAGCTCTGATATCCGTGCTCGTAGTTTCATTCAGCTCAATAGTTCTCACCACAAAGTCTCAACTAAGTAGGTAGTCTCGTAAACTTAAACCTTATAGTTAAGCCTTTCTTTCTATAAATAAAACGTCCTGTCCTTAAGCTGCATGCAATATGCAGGTGAGAGTTCGAAGTAGACCATAGACCTCATAACGGAACTTTAGATGGCTGCTACGATTACGAATTGACCAGATGACAATCCCAGTGATACACTTATGAAATATCTAACTACCTTTCTAGTCAGTTTCGTAAGGCTCACGAAAATACCTATTTTAAGCTAAAATTGAATATAGCTTAAAAACTTACGAATGCATCATCATTTTTACCAAGAACTAAGACTGTTTATAGCAAACATGGACCAAAATCCAGTCTTTCATCATCAGCAGCAATAAAATATTGCTTATTCTCATTCGCATTCCCCGTATCGATTTTCGGATTTTAATTACACAAAGAGTAAGTGCCTCGAGCAATCAAGATGGGACCTTGTGACCTATTTTAAAAGTTTTGCTCGCGAAACGAGGGGAGTGATAAATGGGCGGCATCAATCAGAGAATTTTAAGTGTTGCGAATTTTCATTCGCATTGAAAAGTTATTAAAGCAATCCAGATATGAAACAGGTTCAAGAAGAATAAAAGTAAGCAGCTTTTAGTCTTTGAACAATTTCGTTTTTTACCTACGCATGCTTCGTAAATTCAATCTTAGGATACAAAATTTTACAATTTTACTTTTCCGCGGTATTTATGTAAGTACTTGTAGCGAGCAGTGGATGCATTTTATGATCTCCATTGGGATTTCAATTATTAGCCTATACACATATTTATATCGATTCGTTCGTTCGTTTGTTCGTTTCAGTCAAATGACGTCCACTGCTAGACAAAGGCTTTCCCCAAGGTTTTCCACAATAAACGGTCCAGCGCTGCCCGCATCCAGGTTATATCGATTAACGTGATTTAATTTCTTAAAGTAACAACACTCTTTCTTATGAATTACCTAAATTATTGAGTAAAATATTTACATTAGTAGGTAGCACTCTGTTCCAATACTGAACTTAATCTAGTGACCCTTCTGTAATGTTCATCTTTGTCGATATCGAACCTCCTTTTCGTAACAAAGTACTTTCTTACAAAGTTTTAAGTGAAACGTTCCATTCAAACTGGGTGGGAAATTCAGACTGACGGGCAGGGAGTCCATCGTAGGCTTGTATCTTTAGATTAATTTAGTTTACTCCAATTTTAACAAGGAAATTAAGAAAATAGCATTTCTAACTATAGTACGTAAGCATTTTATGCTTAGGTGATGTATGGATTAAAGTAACACTTTCATCAAATGAAAATCTTCGTGAACTTTTTGTATAGAGTTATTGATAACTAATTATAGTTAAGCTATTAAGCTGACTCGGTAAACTTGATGCCATCCTGTGTTCATCCAAATAATGTAGAATTCTAAAAATGGTGATAGATTTTACAAATCGTTCCAGTAGTTACAGAGCTAATTCAGTACAAACAATCAAATCTTTCCACTTTATAATATTAGTGTCGATGTAGATTAACATAATTTAAAGAATCGGTTATTAATCGTTTGATTCTATAGTTTGTAAGAAAAATGCTTATAAAAATGAAACAGTAGCAAACTCCACTTAGATATTTGATGCTAGAGTTTTAAGGAAAGCACTTACCTTTATCATTTAGAACAGCCTCTCTAGACAAGTGGCAAAAACGTGACAGTTGTAATGTCGAAAGACGGTCGAAAGGCTGTTTTTTTGTATGGAATTACATCGATTTTCGATTCGATCACAAAGTGCCACTTGTTAGACCTACTGAACCTTTTTAGAATATCGATTTCATTATTTCCAAGACATATTAAGAAACCATTTCCTTTAACTGAGGTGTTAATGCCTCTTCAATCAAGCGTACTAACTCCGAATTAATTACGAATTAAAAGCACTGGTACGAATAAAGTGGTACAAAGTATATTGTGAATAAAGTGGTTCAGCTCATTAATAATTCGTTATCGACGTCGACGACTGCCGATCGCTACCGTGGGGACACTTTTGGGCTACTGGGATGTATATAGAGCTGTATTTGTGACGATATTTTTAAATTATTCGGAAAAGAAGAAAGGAAAGAAGAGGAAAAATAGCATTCACAAGCCATACAGTGGAATGGCAGCAAACGAAAAACCCAATGAGAAGAAGTCCACGAAGGTTGTTGTCGACAAACTCACGGTCATATCGATTCTTCACCATCATCATCAGGATTTTTTTAAATCATCATCAGAGAAAATAATTATGGAGGTTTTGACAGACACTCCCCATGCTGGCCACATCGGTTGGGAAAGTTTAATCTCTTATCGTTAAATTAGAATCTTTTATACCTACTTTTTTTCCAGATCATCGGTCCACCTAGTGGGCAGGTCTCCTGCCCACGCTACGTCTTCCGGCTTTGGATGTGGAAATCCTTGGAGGAGGCCTTTGTCCAGCAGTGGACGTCTTTCGGCTGAAACGAACGAACGAACGATACTTTTTTACGTTTTATTTTTTCCCACATTTAATAAAGACTTGCTCTACATTTCCACAACAATATCGACTTTTAAAGTCTTCATATCTNAGCTCGCTTATTGCCAGCTGGTCAAGTGTTACCATCCCATCTTCGCCCGCACGTCCCATGAGCCACTCCGTGTGGGCGAAGATGTTGTCTTTTGGAGCTGGTTCCAATGCCACCTCCTCCGTTTCTTTCTTGAAACGTAGGCGGCGGTTTTGGAACCAGACCTTAATAGCCTGCTCATTGACCCCCAGCCGCTGCTCCAGCGTGCACCGCTCCTCCTTGGTCACGAACTGCTGCGCCTGGAACAGCTGTTCCAGCGCCAAGGCCTGCTCGGTGGAGAACGCGGTGCGTTTGCGTTTGCGAGTCACCAGAGGCTTAAGACCATCAGCCGAAGGAACAACTGAAAAGAATATTAAAATCAGTTTAGTTGGTTATTTATTGTACACAAGTGTTGCGAAACAATCAATCACACTTTTATGAAAAAAAAAAGTAAAACACTTTTATTTTGAAACNTGATAAGTAATTTGATTCGATTTTGATTTGCTAGTTTATGTAACTTCTTATACCTAACTAACAAAAAATAAAGACATCGTATTTATGTTGAATTGTTGGACGTTTTTTTTATTACCTTACACATTTTTTTAAAAACTAAGTACTGTTAATGGAGAAAAATCTAAAACGTTAAAAAACGGTATCGTTATAGCCAATGAGCTGAATATCTAGTCACTCTAAAAACTTCAGATAAAGGGACGCGCGCGGACGACTCCGCGCGACAACCCTCACACTCAATTGAAGTGTAGGTATTTAACTCGCCGAAAGGGCCTAGTTTCCGTACTGCTTTAGCTCATATATATACTGTGGTTATAATGTCGAAAGACGGTCGAAAGGCTGTTTTTTTGTATGGAATTACATCGATTTTCAATTCGATCACAAAGTGCCACTTGTTAGACCTACTGAACCTTTTTAGAATATCGAATAGAATATTTAGAATTTCATTATTTCCAAGACATATTAAGAAACCATTTCCTTTAACTGAGGTGTTAATGCCTCTTCAATCAAGCGTACTAACTCCGAATTAATTACGAATTAAAAGCACTGGTACGAATAAAGTGGTACAAAGTACGTTCAGCTCATTAATAATTCGTTATCGACGTCGACGACTGCCGATCGCTACCGTGGGGACACTTTTGGGCAACTGGGATGTATATAGAGCTGTATTTGTGACGATATTTGTAAATTATTTGGAAAAGATGAAAGGAAAGAAGAGGAAAAATAGCATTCACAAGCCATACAGTGGAATGGCAGCAAACGAAAAACCCAATGAGAAGAAGTCCACGAAGGTTGTTGTCGACAAACTCACAGTCATATCGATTCTTCACCATCATCATCAGGATTTTTTTAAATCATCATCAGAGAAAATAATTATGGAGGTTTTGACAGACACTCCCCATGCTGGCCACATCGGTTGAGGTTTAATTTCATATCGTTAAATTAGAATCTTTTATACTTTTTTTCCAGGCACCTCTCGCGACCTTCACCGGATCGTCGGCCAACTAGTGGGCAGGTCTTCCGGCTCTGGATGTGGAAATCCTTGGAGAGGCCTTTGTCCAGCAGTGGACGTCTTTCGGCTGAAACGAACGAACGAACGATACTTTTTTACGTTTTATTTTTCCCACATTTATTAATGACTTGCTCTACATTTCCACAACAATATCGACTTTTAAAGTCTTCATATTATAAATATTTCATTTTGATAGTGTTCAGTTGCTCCTAATATGTTTTAGATTTATTTTCATGTCCTGCTCCTACAATATCCATTGTCCAATCGCATTCGATAATATTCGTGTAGGTCCAGATTAGAGAGTTTTAGGTACTATTAAAGAGTGACTCTGTCATAAGCTATTAATCAATGTTCGATAAGACAACTCAGAATGGGCGGTCCGTGTTATTCTGTGTTACCTGGTGATTTATTTCATAAGTCCGAGTCCGAGGATTAACCATTATATCTTGGTCTCTACAGCCCTTCGAATGTTCCCTTTTCGCGTCTATTTCAAAGGGAGTTAGGGGGGAAAGGGAGTTCAGGATAAAGTAGTGGCTGTATATTAGCGATATAAGATAGTGAACGCTGTACGATGACGGTTTTCAGACAATAGCCAATACGGTTATCGGGCATCGACTATTTTCCCTAGTACTGGTGATAGGATTGAAGTACCTACGGTTGGCAGCACATCTGATTATACATTTTTGTGTGTAGATGCAACAGATTTTCTAAAGAACTCATCTAATCTACTTTACTTTAATTTACTTCTTTTTGATGTTTTTTTCCTAGGAATTTTTGGGAAGCAGGAAAAAAAGGAAACATAAATAACTCCCCTGAACAACATTTTTCTTTTTCGCTGTTTGACTAAAATTGGGAAAGAGCGAAATATTTTTGTGCTACAAGTTACCAGAAATGGTCCTTGTGATTGGAATATTTCTGCTTGTAACGCCATCTGCTGGAATTATGCCGTTACTTCAGGTTTCATGGTAAACAAAAATGTAAACGAAAACCAGCTACGGAAATCTTTCAACGACATCTAGCGTCGAGTAGTGAATTCAACGTACATATTCCTTTGGTATGTAATTCAGTTTTCAGACAGATCGCAATTTATTGATTTTTAAAAATAACTTTTACTTGTTCTTGTGCGTGTTCACTTGATGGTTAACCAAAAATTACCCGGGTTGCTTACCTAATATTATGTAGAAGATGACTTGTAGGAAATATAATTTCGTAAGAATTAAGTAAGTACTATAAACATCCCGTGTAGCCTCTAGCTAGTAAATCTTCAACCTGCTTTTATGTAGGACTCCAATCTTCAGTTATTTTTGCTCGTCAGTCATTATGTGTACTCGTATTTATTATGAAGAAATCATTAAATCAACATGAAGGGTATTTTGTCAATCATATTAGAAACTTTGAACTTTCTCTGTGCTTAAGTAGTGTCTTTCCTTAACACTATAATCGGGACCTTTTCAAGGCGAGAGTGAATAGGCACTTACAGGGCAGATATTTACTATCCTAGACTGCATCTCACTTAACACCAGGTGCGATTGCGATCAAATACCTGCCTTGTTATGCAAAATTAATATTTTAGTCTTCGTCTTAGACAATTATTAAATTTTCCCAAGTCTTAAGTCTAGTAAACTACTTTTTTTATTCGCGATCATTGCAAAAGTAATAATATTATAAACATTATGTTCTTCATATAGAATGTGATATTGAAAAATCAACTGCCTCAGCTGGGAATCGAACCCACAGTGGATTTTATATTGAAAAATGGCTCAATGAGATCATCCGAAGCACGAAAGATACATTGAGTATCTCTCAATAAACGATAGGGTTTATTATTATTTATTAGTTATCATTCAAAATTATTCTGTACAATTTATAGTTACACTATTTATGTAGCCCAACTGGAAATCGAACTCTGTACCTCCTCGACTAGGACGTGGCCTAACTACAGTGTACATAGTCACTATTTAAGAATAAAAATATGCTTTCGTTTATCTGTTTTAAAGCTCAGTTTAAGGATATTATAGCAACTTCTTATATAATTTAGTTATTCATTAATTGAATATTAACCTAATAAAATTTGAAATGAATCCTATTAAGGTATTAACTATAGTATTTCATTATAAGTATTCAGATACCATTATGTAAAAACGCTTTTAATATCTGAAAGAATTTTGAAGTACCCTAAATTATATAAACGTTCAAAAATAATAATATGTACAACTTCAAAATGTTTAGAAAACTACTGTACCTACTACAATAAAACCACTGTTATCCTATTTTCTTTAAATGATTCTATATATTTTATTATATTCTATGCAGAAAAGTGGGAATAAGAAAAGTTCAACACAGGTAAGGTAAAATTAACGACTTTTATTTATTTCTGTTTATTTCCAACAATGTAAAGATCATTCCAAACCGCTGGTAATCAGATGGATCTGAAACATACAAGTAAACACCAGGACAGGTCCTGTATGAAATCCAGTCCTGTAGTTTCAAACTACACAGGTCTGCAGAAGTATGTACTACACTTTTAAAATTTAATATTTTCTAAGCTATAGAAGTTACTGATTTATAGCAAATCTTATTAGCTTTTAGTAAACTATTAAACTCAGCTTTCTTTCAACATTTTCACTGAAAGTGAAGATCCAATCATTTGTGCAACAAAATAATGTAGGTACTTGTTTTAATAACCTTTTGGCTCGACCATAAACTCGACTCTAGCAACGGATGTAAGCAATTTATGGACCAATAAACTTCCGTTTATAGGCCCTATGTAGTACATTGTATAACCAGTTATTTATTTCAAGCAATCAAATTGTAAAAATATACCTGATTAATAAAATACGTCCATAAATATTAAAAGTGAAAACTAAATATAATTACTTACACTTATAATTTTTTATTCCAAATTCGTATAGACTACAATTAGATAAACACGCCATAGATAAAGATTGATGTGCTATCGTCTATACAAATAAATAGTTACAGAACAGGCGCGGATCCTTTGTCAAAAATTGTTGTGAAAATCAACCAAGTGTGGAGGGGGTGTAATCAGGTGCTAACATAAATCATTAAAGCAGATGCAAATGTATGTGTGAAAGTATGAAATCACAATCGGTTGGCATTCCCATCGCGCCCGTTACAGAGGATCTGCGCCAGCTTCAGAATCAGAACAAAGTCTTCTTTCTTCATGGTGTAATCTTCTTTCTTCTAATGTTGAGTGTTGCAAAGTAGCGAGGTCTTCCAGCCGTGAGATACCTGTAGAGACGAGCTTCTGATTTTGTCTTAACTACAAAAGCCCGGATCTACAGGGTAGATCACGAATGTGCCAATAGGTTTCTTCTTTCTTCATTATCTTCTTTCTTGGTTATCTTCTTTCTTCATTATCTTCTATCTTCATGTACAGTCATCAACCTCAAGTGCAAAATGTAAGCATTGTGAAAATTCTAGACTTAGGCTGGATTGCACCATCTTGGTTTAACAGTAACTATAAATTAAAGATTTGATGAAGGCTACTGACAACGCCATTCTTGTGGCGGAGTTTTGGGCCGACGCTGTGTAGGTTTGTTGTCGACACGACAAGAAGAAGTAACTAGGTATAACAATAACCGGTGTTGTTGTATCGAGTTTGACAGTTTTTGACATTTGTTAAAGTCAAAGTAAGATGGTGCAACTCAGCCTTAGTATACGAGTAACTTTACAAAAAAAATTGTGTTTCTACATTAATCAAAATTACAAAATACCCTAACTCCCAACTAATAGTTTTAAACGAAGTATGCAAATCATTTAAATAATTACTTGTATTGATACTTTTAAACATTATTTGATTAATGAATAAGGCTTGAATGCGCTATAAGTACCTATTAATCACATTCTCGCCATGCGATGATTCAAATTTAAAAAGTGTTGGTTTAAGTTCTGACTGGTTAGTATTAGCAGAAACATAGACCAATTAATTTAAAAATGGAAAATAAATTAACACTAAAAAGTCTACATCTGAATTTGCCCCTAAAACTTCATCTTCAAGCTTCTATCTTCTATTTTCTATCTTCCAAGTTTCTTGCAATTCCCAGCTCTTCTTGTTACATTAGGATTCAACTTCTACTTCTTTGGAACAGCGTTCAACCGCAGTTTTTTTCAGCCCGGACCTGAAAGTTGTAGACAGTTTGAATTAACTTTTTTACCGTGAAATAGCTTTTAGTTTAACTCGTAGGATGTCCTGCATTTTTTTTTCAACAAAAAAGAGTTTCGTGTTGTAAATGGAAGTTGTATCACATTTTTAACTGCTGGAAAGCTGGAAGTAACTATTAGTTTAGCTCGTAGGGACGTGCTGCGAAATATTGAACAAAAAGTGTTATGTTTGACAGAAGTGAAACAATATTTTAACTCTATTTTATTCTAAATCTAATTTTATTTCTCGATGATAAACAACTTCATAATGATTTTATACGGCTATGCAGCATGGGTAGTGTAGGCTTAATCCTCTCTTCACCTCTGGTAATTTAAAGGATCACGAATGGAGACTGAATGACCTGAAGATGATGATGATATTATATTGATTATGCGACTATGCGTGAAGGGTGCTTCTTAAATAAAATATTTTTTCAAATCTAATTCAATATTTTTTTCATCTTTTTAAGCCTCTAAATGAATGGTTGGGCAGGGCACCCACGAGATGGTCGGACGCGGTGAGGAAGACGGTGGGCAGGAGTTTGCATCGTGCGGTCCACTCAGCTTATGACCGCAGTCTATGGAGGAACACTGTGGTCGCGATCCTTATCAGTGAAGGACCGAGGAAGAAGATAGAAATGAATGGTTTATTTTTCACAACTATACTAGTATCGATATCGAAAGAGTATAAGATCGCCTGTACAAACAGCATTGATCAATTGATAATATCAGCACACGTAAACCATAAGTTAACACGTATGCTACCATCTAGATATCAATAACAATACTGATACAAGCATTTAATATCGCCCGTAATGTAAGCAATTAACATGACAGGACGTTAATAACCGCGTTTAATATGGAAATCTAGTTAAGGCGACAACGACGCCATCTTTAATTTATTACATGCAAACATCACGTCCTAGCTTTGTTAATTACACTGGGATTGGGTGAGACAGTTTCAGATTTAGGACAATTGTAACTTCGTTGGTCTGTGTATGAATTTGTATACTTGTGATTGATAAACTAGTTAACTCATTCAGTCTTAAACTTAACTTTTCAATGTGTGGAAAAGGATGGAAAGAGGCACTAGTTGAATTTTAGGACAAACCTAAATCCTATATTGTAGGTATATTTCTTCTTTCTTACTGCTTATTATGAAAATATGAATTAATATTGAAAGAAAGAAAGATACATTTATTACAGTGGACATCACACAAATACAGGCAATTACATAGACATGACAGTGGCACATAATAATAAAAGAAGAAAAAATAAATAATATTGGAGCAATTGGCTTTTGTAAACGCGTTTAGTTTAAATGTTTAGTGAAACAAACGATTTTCTAAATATTATGCTTGGGAAATCTTCAGGCGAAGTATGCCGAAATTGCTTTTTTTAAGAAAGACTATAAAAATACTTCTACATAATAAAATTGAAAACTATCTAATAAAAATACGAGTACATATTTCAAATCCATTATATCGTTAAATTAGATTATGGTTTTTATTAGAAGCTACAGAATAGGTATTACATTAAAACCCTGCAACCTCTGCCCTCCATTTATCGGAACGTTATCACTCTTACCCTACTCGCAGATTCAATTTACCGCCAACAATACAACACTCAGAGCTAGCATGACGAGGAATCACAAATCAGAGGCATCGGCACCCGAGGGAACCACAAAAAAATAATCTCGGCAATCCCGCAAATCATGGCCACCATTGTATTCCCATAATGTAGTGGAGGAAAACGCTCCGCAAAAAGACCCGCTTAATTGCACGGGGAGGAACTCTGAAAGGAGGTGGCATTGTTTCCGTGCCTTTGTGGGCCCTGACTCATCAATTCTTCAGATTGACGGAACATTCCCGAACAACGATTGAGTGCCGCGATGTTCCGCGGACCTAATTCGCTTTTTCGCTGCAACTCGTGTCGTCATTAATCTGGATAAAACCGGATCGGACTGGATAAGACTGGCGATTTTACGGTATCATCGTTAGACAGATTAGCGATTGAGATTCGATGGGGATCGGTGATCGATCGGCACTTCTAAAGATAGAATTGTATAATCAATCTTTATAAATTGGAGTTCCCGCCGGGTTTGTTAGTTGACCAATAACAAAAACTATTTACAACGCCCACATTTCTGTCTTTTATGCTCATATTCATTAGGTATGATTCAATTGATGATCCAAAGCAACACTATTGTTACAATTTAGCTCCCAAAGCAATTCATACATTGCTAATGTATCGGCAAAATGGACTGAATGGAGGTCCCTAATCGAGGCTCATTTATAAATCTAACTAGCACCCGCATAGGTGCTCCAGTAAATATCTACTAGCAATTAGTTACAATGGGGCCACCAACGCTGTAGTTCGGTGCGGTAAAATGGATTGTCGATATATCGATAATTCAGAAAAAGAGGTTCTTTTAACGCAATAAATCTGTTAAAAATGTTGTATGTTAGCGAAGAATTAAAAAATGTAACAGTCGGTGAGGCAAAACATACCTACGTTGTTTTACCTATGACAGGTTAGTTAGAACATTGCAAACAGAAGAAATAATCTCAATATTCATTAAAGCTTCTTTTTTCAATTGTTCAGCTTTATTTCCAGTCTTCCAAATTTCAACTGTTAGTTTTATAAAAACTATTAACTATTGAAGCCAATATTGTACTCTCATTCGATACCAAACACATCCCTACAACACTCCCAGCTCTGTCGAGGGATCGTACTAAAATCCGGGATTCGCCCTCCCCCCTCCAATGTCCTGGCGGCATCATTAATCTTGCACGGCGTGCAAACAGTCCTCTCAACCAAGTTTAGAGCTGCTCTCTGTCGATAATGTTGGCTAATATCGAGAATTAACGATAACGGGTGAGGGCGATAATTAATGGATAGCTCGGTGCTGAATTAATTATGAATAATAGAAGAGTGATAATGTTGTTTTCATGTAATGAGCTCTACTATTCAATCAACATGTAAGAGACAATATACTTTTTAAATTTCCTTTTACGTATATGAAATAATCAAAGGATGTGCAAATTAAGAATTGTCGGCACTTTAGTGCTGAGAATAAGCAGAACCACACTCGTACCTAACAACAGTAACCTGCCAAGAAAAATGAAAACGGGTCTTGCAGTTAATTGCATGAAGTGGTCACATTTTCCAAGAATGATGCCGGCGTGTTGTTTCATTTCAAGTGAAGTAATTTTACGAGTCTTGACACAAACAATGAACGGTAGTAATATTGTTTCGTTTGTTGCAAATAAATTAAATTGTAAAATTGTTACTAAACTTCTCGGTTTATGATAATCGATAATAATCTCGACACTTGAAATCCCTAAAGCTGCCAGAGGCGGCTTTCAAAGGAATCGTACACAACTGGGAGATTTTATCGCTTTTCCCAACCAAAGCCTAGGCTTCCATCCCCTTTTCATTTTAAGTGAATAGACTAGATAATCTATAGAAACTATTATTGCTCTTCAAAATGGCTGGCATAAAGGCTGATCTCTGTTTTATTTGAAGTAGATTTTGTAAAATAGATGAGAGCATTAACAAGAGCTTTAAAATCATTAATTAATCATATCTGCTAAAATAACAAGAAGTATCATTACTACTAAAGTGATGAAAAGTTTTAATCAGTTTTCACAGTCGTATTTTTTCCCATCTATAAAGTACATGTCATTTGGATACGACTATACATTAATCTTTCAAAACAGGCTCCGGAAAGTATTCTAAAAATAAATGAACAAAAGTTTTTTTTCTTCTTGATGTGACAAAAAACAAGGCGTGCGTTATTTCTCTCAGCACCTCTCAATGTATGTTCTTTGAGGGTTGCCAGGTCCCATTATCGAGCTTTTGTTACTAAAGTCAAAGGAAAGCTGCGGAAAACAGTCGAAAAATTAGAAAAAGAGGGTCCGTGGTCTCCGATATATCACGAATTTAAAGCTAACCGTAAACTAGATCTTGCTTATACCTCTCAATATCTAACAAGTGATTCTCTATTTTTAACAAGCACGTATTTTTAAACCATATTCTTTCATATTTTCTAAAGAAAACAGTAAATATCTCACCTGGATAAGTTTTATTTCCCCGCCATCTTCGCATCTGCGTTTTCCCCAGTGCCTGAAACATTCGGGGACAAATGTTACATTTCAATATGCTGAAACAACAACTTTACTTTTGCCGTATTTTATGGGGAAGCAATATGTTTTGGACATACGACATAACTCATGCTTAAAGTTTAGAGGTTTGGTGGACGNTGTCGTTAGCTCGTTAGCGACGGTTCGTGAAATTTGCCAGAATGTGACATAATTTTATATTTATTGGACAACGCGGTCTTGAAAATTTGTAACCACGATTTACTCTATTGGTCCTCGACAAACTGGTTATTTTATATTATTATCTTTTATAAATCGTGATTATGATTATGGTTGAGTGCGATTTACACAAGAATATTTTTATTTCAGTCAATCGCTGCTCAAACAGAGCAGTAATTTTGATTTAATTATTAAGTCATTAACCCAAACAATATTTGGCCATATCCCTAAAGATTATGGAGATTGTCTATGCCACGTCCGACTATGGATTTTCCCAAGTGTAGCCCCAGCCTTAGGTCGTAATTTCGCGCGCAAGGCGACATCCATAATTCCCGAGCTATCATAAATTAGCATACGTATTAGATTGCGATGGGCGGCGGATTCTGCTCACGATTTGGATCTAGGAAATTGGACTAATCGGGAAAAAGAGGGGTTTCTATTTTATCAGATAGAGACACGTATATTTCTTTTAATATGAGTAACATATTTTCAAGGAATACACAAGTCAATTTGAAGTTTAAACTGTATCAAAACAAACATTATCGATGTAGCTGAAACTTGTGAAATCTGAAGCTATAATATTATGTAGGTATATGATAGTAGTCTTTGAGAAAAAACAACAAAAAACTGATGTACATTTTTGAACAAAGTTCAGTGCGCCATAAAATCTATCTAACCTAAATTACAAATACGTAAACCAGACCCCAATATTATCATCAAATGAAAATTACTAAAACAAGCCCAAAATAAACGTAAGTAATCGAGTACAAGATGGCGCCTATGTAATGAACACCGATATTAGCACATTCCCCTGGAATTCCAGCAGAAAGCCAACTCCATTTATTTTTACGTTTCCAAGGAATCACCAGAAGATTAGCTCCGTTCAAACACGAGCCCTGAATTTGAATAAGCTAATTATAAAACTTGGGAATAAAGGTGCCGGAAAGATATTCTGCCGAAGCCAATGTGATGATTGTATCGTTACTTTTTTAAGGAAACTTTCATCGTACATCGTCTTAAAAACACAGCTTGCGCTCTCACTAGCGTTTTCAATGTGTGCGTCACGTCACGCGACCATTGATTGGCCATAAGGCATGCCTTCTGGCCAATCACAGCACTTTTAAGCCGGTTGCACATGTTGTCGTAGACTCTCAGTCGCTTTGTTTTTACACAGTTGAATGTGTGTGTGGGAGCTGTGGTAGGGGAAATGTGGGGACACTGGTTCTCGTTGTAGTTACGCGCGACTTCATATCTATTCTCTTTCTATGATCTGAGGTCACATCAAAACTAGTACGGCGCCGCGACGCCCTGTTAAATGTGAAGACTGAGTGAATTGCGTACCTAATAAAGAAATGACTGTATATTTTATTGTCTACTCCAAAAATAGTAGACAAACTCAAACTTTATTACTCAATGGCGTAATTTGTGACCTAAAACGGTATTAAAGTAGCATGCAATTTGCACTCATTATCCACTTATCCAATATCCGAAATTAACTAACTGAGCATAACACTCCAGTTTTAACATAACCGGGATTAAACCCATTAAGCGGGGCTGAAACACAATTTAACGTTACATACGGGGCCCTCAGGCCATTGCTTGGCGAGCGGCCAGCCAACCACACGAGATTTATGTCAACCATATTACCATAGTACGTGCTCCAATCAATAAGACTGTATCGCTTACATGTTCGTATATTCAGCCGCTGTTGTGGGATTTGTTGTTTATCGACAGTTTTATCGAACAATATACATCACTATTGCATTGTATAGCTGTAGCATAAACTAAAACATAACAGAACAAGACTACACCAAACAGAAAAGTCTTTATAATCTTCTGTGGATTGAAAATAAGTTCACAAATCTAACAGACTTTTTATCAATCAATCTTTAGACGAGGTTTCTTTCTGTTTAAGTTGTGTGATAATTTGGCATTTATTTTATAGAGATGCCAGGGGTCGTAAGCAATTTTCGTCAAACTTTATATTGTGTAGCTCCTAAAACGGCATTTTTTATAACCAAGTTCATGTTATTATTAGAATAATAATTAAGCTTGAAAATAACCTTAAAGTTAATCTTCAAATATTGACTTCAAAGTTATTTTGGGTAATGTTAAGGAAAAGCAAAATTAAATTCGCAGAAGCGACGAAAAGTTGGGAAAGCGCTTTTCTTCAAAACGCAAACAAAGCGTGGCAAGGAAATTAAAAGTGGCGTCGAATAAAAGAACATAAAAGTCACCGTAATGGCAGACTCGTGGATAGCACCGTCCCAAAGCCGGAGACTTTGTAAAGCTACAAGATTATTTGCTGAAAGATTAATGTTTTGAGTATTAATAACTGTCAACTATACTTTAACTAAGTTTCAGCAAAACCCAAAATTAAACTTACTTGTAAAGTTCGAGGATGCTTTCAAACAAGATTACATTGAAATACAATAAGTCCAGGAAATTAAAAAATGAATAAGTTTTAATATTAAAAATTCCACACTTCATACCTTTATACTTTAACTCAGCAAAAGCTTCGCCTAGTACGTCTAGTAAATTAAGCTAAGTCTTCTTCTAACTAGACGATTNTAAGTCTTCTTCGAACTAGACGATTTCTAACTTAGTTAATTTAGCTGGTTAACGGAGCAACAACCAGCAAGAGCATTTAAATGCTTAAGCGCATAACTTAGTATGCAGATGAGATAATTGCACCGAGGGATAATTTAGTTCTAAGCTAGGCTATTAGCAAGCTAGCTATCTCCAGATCTGCCTAAGCCAGACCGCATTTGCACATGTATCTCTTAGGCTTTAGTAAATGGATATCGTAGAGTTAGCTCACTGGAAGCCGCCGTATCTTGTGGTTAGAGATAAACTTCATTGTAGAGAGTGAGATACAGAGTCTAGACTATCTCTCATTTTGGTGCCTGTACCTAATTTTGTTAATCTGCAGTGGTCGTGGCTTACTTTCTGCCATGAAAATTTGTGCTCAAGTGCTTGTGCACTCATGCAAGTGCGAATTTTCTACTTTGCTATTATGATTTTGAAGTGCGACAATGATTAATATAACTTTTCTTTTTAAAAGACGTGATCTTAGTTAACTCCCTTATAATGGCTGCAGTCAAAGGATTTTGTAAATTTTAGTGATGACTAAATATCGATCATATTTTGGACAAAAACCGCGAAGTACCTGGGATCTATTTATGAGATTTATACGTGAAATATCTAGTAGTCTTGAACAACATGTTTGTTCAGTTTATTACGTATAATAAATAAACAAAACATACCTATATCCTATTTACTTTACAACAAGTTTCACACGGTCCGCGCTGGCAGCGACCTCGGCTCAACCCACAAGAGTGTTGTTAGCTGAAATTGCATTTGCATATCGTAGTTCTGAGCCTTTGTGTGGGGAAACTGCTAAGTCTTGGTCGTTATTTGTACTGTAATAGTATTCTGCATTTCTGAATTGCTTTGTCGGCACTTGCGCCAAAATTTAAGGCCAAAATATTACTGACTTAGCAAAAAGTCGTAAGTATGATTTGCGAAAGGACAATGTTCTTTCTCCATACATTGTTCGCCGTTAGATCAACAGTGCCGAAAAAATACTTTCTAGGTTCTAAATGACACAAATCTTTATGTAAGAACAATTATTCCTGGCGGACCAATTCTATAAACTTATTGATAGCAATATTGTTATCATAACCTCTTACTTACTAGTATTGTANCTAAAAATGAGAGATCTAAAAATGATAAATCCCTAAGAATTTCTCAGAGTTTTAAGTGGTACATATGTATGACCATCATTATCATTGATGCATACGATATCAATGATGGTTATTTAAAGCTGCCTTTGATTATAGAAGAAGGTTCAAATTATTCAACCACAAAGTTTTTAACTGCTCATAAGATGAAGCAATCGAAAAGGATACCATATTTCACTTCAATTCCCATCTTTTCAGGTTCCAATCCGTTGAAAACTCAGAAAGAACATTTCTCCAAACTATCGCGAGCGCGACAAGAAATAATTTAACATTAGCAGTCGACTTGCGAAAGTCGTTTTTCATATTTATACAAGTTCCAACGCGTTGGCAAAATTTTAATGTGACACGAGAAACATATAAAGTTAAATAAAATGACTTTTACAAAAATTATTTACGGCGCCGTTGCGTTTTATAAAACTTATTTTAATTTGTTTCGTCCACGCCCCAGGGATTGCTTTCAGAGNTTTCAGAGTTTTAACTGTAAAATGTTGCAGCCTTTATTGTGTGGGTTTTTGTTTGCTAAAACAATGAAAATATGAATGTATCTGCATGTCGGGATTCGACAGCTTGCATTTTAATTTATGCATCAATGCGGAATTTAAACGGGACATTAATTCAGAATTTCCCGACGTAATTGTATCATTTATAACTTTTGTATTCTGGAATGAATAAATTTATNCATATAAAAGACTTTTATTATTTCATTTTCTAATCCTCAAGTGTCCATTACAATCTAATTAATATTTATGTATTCAAAAAGTAAGAGATCAATTTTGATACTTTACTGCTGTGCCCAGGAATCTGAGGCCGTTTCTGACAATGTCCAAGATTTCTAAAATATGAAGAAATTACTTCGCCAGTCACTTTTCATACCTACAGATCTGTCTTTTCTTATCAATTAAAAAATCCCATTTCCAAGTTAATAAGTCCTTAAAAATTAATTTCTCAGAGTTTTAAGTGGTAGGCTTATGTATGACGACCATCATTATCATTGATGCATACGATATCAATGATGGTTATTTAATTTATAGAAGAAGATTCAAATTATTCTATAACAAAGTTT